GACACCACACTGACAATTCATCTTTCAATTTTTATCTTTGAATTTTAACTGATGTTGTTACATGTTAGTTGTAAAAATAGAGCTAAGACTCGTTTTATTTTTCATCAACTTCTGTCTGTCTCTCATGTTGTCCTTCAACTCGCAGCTATGTCAAAGAAAAAGAGGCACACTTTATGACCAACGCATACATATTGAAAGAAAACTCGGTCTTTCAGAGTGATATTGTTTAGGTGACCAGTTACTCTCCTATTTGTTTTGTCTTGAGATGATTGATTAAAATGTCCTACAATTGTCTTTGTTTCACTTTCGATTGAGTTATTGACTGGATATGGGACGTGGAAATGTTTACTCTAAAAAGGGTTTTAGAAGAAATGTACAAATCAAAATACAATGATTAATCGCCTTGTTAAACATTACATAAAATCATTTTACCAAGTGTGTTTTCTTTTTGTTATGCATGTGTATTTTGGTACAATAGGATATTTTAAGTTTTTGATACCTTGAGGATGATTCCTAGTAGGGCTGGGACGACTCATTCACGTAATGGACGTCACTGATTACGGAAATGCGTCGATTTGCATAACGTGTGTAGGCGTTTTGCAATAAAGTTCTGCACCTGCAGCTAAAAAACCTTTGGGAGTACTTTAGACAGAGCCCCAACAACGTGGTGCTCTGTAAGCTCTGCAAATTGGAAATGGCTTAACACAGCGGTGCAACGGCTGTGCACCAACACTCGTCCAGACGGCGCCGCAAATCCTGTTCACTTTTTGTCTACACACCTGATATATTGATATATTGGGATTATCAACATTAGGGCAGTGTCTCATCCCAGAGACAACTTTCTTTTGTCAGACACCAGCTTTGCATTGACTCATGCCCCCTACTGTGCCTCTGATTGGCTAACCCTAACCCCACCCTAAGCCTAACCAATGGAGGCAACAAGTGCTGACCAGTCAGAGGCATAAAAATAAATGTAAATGCTGCTTATTACAGTCCTGTGACAGCTTCAGATACCTGAGTATTTTCATTTTTGTATCAGATCGTTTATTTTATTGATTGCTGTCGGGATGTAAAGAAAGAATTTAATAAATGTAACAAATATAACTATGCTTTATGTTTAGAACCTAAATAACTGGTACATAAATTGAACCAATTTTCAATACATACTTTATGTCATTTATTTATTCAAAAATGCAAACATTAACTGTTTCCTGCTCCCCAGATGTAATGATTTCCTGCTTTTCTCTGTTTTATATCATTGTAATCAGCTGTTTGGGGTTTTGGAGTGAGTTGAACAAGAGAAGACAAGAAAACTGAAGACGTCACATTTGTTTTGGCCCTACTTGAGTTTTCATTTAATAAACTAATGACTAAGTGGTACAAATGGTCTCCTATTCAGAAGAAGATTAGATAAATGAATAGAGAGACAGATTGGTTCTTTGCAGGAGAAAGTCAGTGAGTACATACTCCATGTCCACAGCTGCTCAGCAGTAAACAAAGCCTAACCCCATTTTAACTGACAGGTCTCTTAAATCAAATTACATTAAATTATAGAGTGCTTTATACAAAACAAGCTTAATGGAAGGCAAAGAAAGGACACAAAGTTAGTGTAGGTGAAAGGAAGGAGGCACACTTTCAGACTTTTGCAACTCTCTCTCTCTTTCTCTCTGGATCAATCCAAGTGTCCACACTCTGGACTCGTGGACTGAACCTTACGGACTTTGGGTGCTGGGACATGAGTGGATAAATGATCTATGCAACGGGCCTTTAAACCTCATTAGCATATTAATTTAAATTCTTGCAACGATTTAAAGTATGTTTCTGCATGGACATTAGCAGATATGTTCAGGGTCTGCTGCTTTATACAACAGAGATAGATGGTCGATACGCAGTAAAGCTTTCCCTTCACATTAACAATAACAGTCCACATGAAACCTTCAGCTGAAGATCCTCACATCACAGATGGCCCTATAGTTTTCTCAGCAGGATGGAAACCAACTTTTGTCTATCTTATTCTGCCGATTATAACAAGCAAATCCAAAGTATTAACTTTACATATACCCTGCATGTGGGCAATACCAAACCTTGCTGGGTCAATAAACTTCAACATCAAACACACAAAGGAGAACATTTGGACTGTAGCATTTACTTTGTTAAAAACATCATTGGATGAGTCCTTTATTATTATATGTTTTCATTATTATTCCCTCATTGTACATAGTCACATCTATATTGTAAATCTGGAATTGTGGATTTGGACAGCTCTAGGAATTTACAGGAACGTCCAGGTCCAGGGAAGTCTGGGGGGATGGCATGCCTCAAAGGCTTCATTGAAGACCGAATCACAGTGGTGCGACAAGGCCGTCCTGTTTCCTTCAAATGACGCCAAGAATTGCAGCCATCTTTTCCCAAATTTCCAGCAGATAATAGATTCTTTCCAAAAAGAGAAACTAACCTAAACCTATCCAACGAAGGTTAAAGTCAAGGGCAACTGGACTTGGTTGAAGATACTGGAAGACGTTTCGTCATTGAACCACTTATCCCCCACTTACAATGCAAACGTAACCTATTGGCCTCAGGTGAAGACTGTCGTCACAGCAACCAGGAACACTAACGAACCAGCAGTATCGACGATCCTGGCAAACGACCCCACTGAGGTTAAATAGCTGAGTTTGCCTGCCAGGCAGTCAGAACTGAAGAAGTCCTTTGGATGAAGTCCAGTTGCCCTTGACTTTAACCTTCTATGACCTGGATGGTCTTCTATAACCTAAACCTAACACTGACTGAGGATTACATCTCTATTAGTTCCATCTCTACTAGCTGTCAAAGTTGTTCGGAGACAGGAGCTGCACTTTGTAGACCAGAACAGCGCTCAGTTTGGTCCTTCGAAGGATGCGACCCCTGAAAAATATTTTCTTCAAAATACTAAAATCTAACAACAATCACAATCTGTTATGTTAATTTGACTTTAATGAGACACCCCCAACACTGGAATACGAATTTAGCTTCTCTTTGTCTGTATATATCTAGCAGCTCTGGTAGGGCGAGGCCAAGCTCAGCTACACCGATACTGTCGAATGAAGGAAGGGATAACGTCCAAAATGTTCAAATATGAATCACCTCGCATGAAGTGGGTGGGCTTGGACCAGAGTCTTTGTGGATTCTCTCAATAACTCCTGGCCAAACCCCTAACCACAACTGCTCTCCAAAATCCATGTGACTTTTGTTTCCGTGCCTTGGTTCACCAGAAACTGGGCAGCGTGAACCTAAACGAACCATACAAACATGCAAAGGTTTTCCAGAATGGTTTGTACAAAAGGAAATACTGGCACCCAGCAGACAGGCCCTAGCAAAGTCATAACATAAGGGGCTTTATTAAAAGCCCAGAGAACGTCAAACTGTTATAGTTTGTTGTGCCGGTCAGGTCACAGGTTCACTCAACCTCAAACTAAACAGACCCAAGTTGTCAGTTACACCATGAACTCCCACACACTTTCTGGGAAATGCAGTTTTGTCCAATTTGTAGTGCTCGTTGTGATTTGACTTGTGCAGTCTGTCCTCATTTTTTTTTATTGTGAATATTTTTTTGGCTTTTACGTCTGACTGCAAACTCAGCTGGAAGACTCATAGTTTTAACTTTACCTCAAACCTGAATATTCTGAGTGGAACTTTGAAACAGGTCTAATCCGGAGTGATCCAAAGTCCACTTGTGTCTGAATCTCTACCAGCTAAATAAACCAACTGAACTGAACTGAACTGAAACAAATCAGAGTTTGGAGACCGGAGACTGGATTACTGTAATGCACTCCTAACAAGAGTCTGCAGAGACTGCAATATGTTCAGAACAGTGCTGCAAGGATCCTGATGAGAGAAATGCCCCCCACTACTACTACTACTCACCCCTCTAACCTCAACACGATCTCTCCACTCAGCAAACTCAAAGTGCTTCCTTCTCCCCAGGACTAAGCTCAGCACCATGGGTGATCGGGCTTTCTGTTCTGCTGCTCCTCAGATCTCGAACGCCCTCTCCGATCATCTGAGGGCACCTCAGACTACCGAGACTTTTAAAAAACGACTTGAAACATTTTTTTTTAGCAGAACTTTTGAGCTTTAAAGAAGTGATATTCTGCTTTTTGGCTTTTTCGCTCTCCTTTATTGAGTATTTATCTTTTTTGCCAAGCTGGTCGGCAACACGTACAGCTGAACCCGAGCTGTTTACCGGGTTCTCACTGACCCGCCCTTCTCTGCTTCTGATTGGCTAGTAGTCCTTAACTAGGAACTGCACATGTGCAACTCCCAACAAAGATCATTTAGAGACAGATGCATCACTCCATAGCTAAAATGATCTAGATAGAACGTTCTGGTACAACCTATAAATAAAACGATGAACCTGAAAATGAGCAGAATACCACCTCTTTAATTAACCTTGCAAGTCGTTGTATTTTATATTGATGTTTTTACCTTGCTTTTATGATCTTACCTTCAGCACATCGAGATGTGTTTCAACTGCAAAGTGCATTAAAAAGAAAATGTAAAATAACAACAACAATAATAATAATAGTTATTATTATTATTATTGTTTGGTGTCATATCCAGATCCACATAGTTCTTGGAAAAAGTCTTTAAAGGTTTGGAGAATTTCCTCATTAACAAAGGCAGTTAAAATGTAATCTTTATCCATCTTGTTGCCTACAAAAATTCAGAATGATGTCCTTATCTGGCAGATGGATCGTGTGCTAATCTTTCTTCTTATAAAATGTGTAAATCTAATGAAAGATGGGAGTGCAGATGGGAAACAGTTTTGTTTTACTGGATGACAGAAACCAACAGTCCTGAATCCAGGAGTGGCGCCTGACGGTGACGTCATCTGTCCCGAGTAGGCGGCTGCTCCCATTGGCTAAACACGCGGAAGTTGAGGGGGAAACACTTGCTAACAACAACAACGAGCTGTCTCGCAGTTTTTGATGTGTTTTTGTCTCCTGGAGGGTTTTTAAACAGACATGGCTTTACCGGCTCAGCTGAAGGGCATCCAGCACTACCTGCGGACCGCACAGGAGCACGAGAAACGGGACCCGGTCGTGGCTTATTACTGTAAGTTTGTGTTTGCTGGCTAACGTTAGCCGCAGCTACTTTGTTAGCATCCCAGCTTCGTTGCCCTGAGTGTGTTGGTTTAGCCTCTTAACTTTAATTTAAACATTGTCAGCTTACAGACAACGACAGTTTCAGATCGTTAACGAGATAGAAATCGACCTGCACTCTTAACGTCGGCTAACCAAAGCCCGAAGCCCCGGTGTTGTTAGCTCCGGCAGTTCAAACTTCATCTCCGGCTAACGTGTGGGGAGTTCCCCTGTTTCATTCACCGAGGCAGACATTTAGAAGGTGTGTGGACTCCTCCTGGGTTTTATAAGGCTTTACCTGCCCTGCTTTGATTCTGCTAACTTTAAACACCATGTCTGGCTCCTGGGTAGAAGTTCTCCAGTTAATCACAGTTGTGCCTCAGAGGCCTGGAGTCCAGCATCTGAAGTAGATTTCTGGTCCAGCTTGTTTGTTGTGGTGTGTTACCTATCTACAGTAACACAGTCAGCTGTAAAGAATGGGCTCCACCCCACTGTCCTGCTGAATCACTTCATGATGAATCAGACAATCTCATCGGTGACTTATCAGTTTGTTTAACACACAGTGTTTGCAGTGTAGTAGGTTAAAACTGCTATTCTTCTGCAGCCAGATGTAAAATTCTGTTTTCTTTTACTTGTGCTGTTGCAGTTTCAACAAGATAAACCTCACCTGTTGTTTCATTTAACAATAGTTCTCAAATGTCTCGTGATATTCTGTATTATATTACACAAAGTGTAGCAAAAGCCTGACACATAGCTCACTGTTCATTCAGACCAAATGCAAATCTAATCTTTGCGCCATGTGACTCGCTTGAGTTTCATCTGTGGACTACTCGCCTGCTGTTTTCATACAACGCTTGTAAAACAAGGCTAAACATAACAGCGCTATGAACCCAAAATAAACCTTTTTCTGTGATTTAATTACAATAAACGGATCAAAATGATGCTGAAATATCTACAACATGATGCTGATTTGTGAAACATACAGTGTTTCCCACAGGATTTCAAGAGACTATGGTGGGTTGACCTCGGACCTTCCCGGGGGCTCCGGGGGCGTGCCCTCCTGGAAGAAAACTTTGTACATTTTAAAGTTAAATGCATTGATTTAGTGCAAAATTAAGAGGCTATCTATAAAAAACTTTGCACTCTTGTGTACAATGTTGCACTCTAGTAAACAATTTAATCATAAACCGCCATTAATCGCGTTCTCACAAACGAGTGACAGTCCTGTTACCGTAGTTACCTCAAAAGAAACGTGGTTGTCTCGAGTCGGATGCCAAAGTGTGTGAACGTGCGAGCTTACAGCAGCGCCCACAAAACACAGCGTTAGAGGTCTGAAATGTTGTTAAGAGGGGGAAAATACTTTCGGTTCATTTTGAAACTATGGCACCATGGTCTCGTTAATTAATGGGAAACACTGACATTCATGCTTTGTCAGGTCTGTCAGCGAGACAGCAGGACAACAACTTATTAAATGTTTGTTTTCTGAATGGAGTTCAGGCTGATCAGAGCTATACTGTGCTAACTTGTTCACAGTAAAGTACAACAATAGCTGGATTCAAGTAACAAACACATTTTCCAAACTTACCAGCTAGTTCAACTCACTTTTTTTCCTGTTTTTATATAAATATGAAGTCAGAGCTCACTGACACAACAATAACAACAGTGGACCAGGAAACACACGGTGGCTCGCAGCTGAGAAGCGCGAGTGAAGATGAATCAATGTTTTAATCCCAAAAATAAGTAAAAAGTTAATTTAATAAGTCTGAGATCGTCCTGCCGGTAAACGGCTCGGTTGTCAGAGCAGAATCCCGTCTGACTGCGCGTGTTTATTTCTCCAAAATCTGCAGAATGCAGAATTAATCTGCTGCTGAAAATAATCCCCAACAAAAGCACCATTTCTTCTGTTTGAGTAACATTTGTTAAAAAGGGCCCACCTGTTTTAGTGAACTGCTGAGCTTTTAAAAAAACACATTACCTGTATATTTCTAAACCTCTTTTTGTGTTGACCTTTGCCCCCTTAAAGAAGCAGCCCCTCTTATTTATAGAGGTGGATCTCCGTACATAAAGAAAACATCATAAAAAATAATACATTTAATAAGATATCCCAGCAGCTGTCGGAGAGAGAGCACACAGGTGCTATTTCACAACAAATATCACGTATTTGATAAGTTTGACCAGTGTTTAGGCTGTCACCACGTTGATCATGTGACGGGATGTGTCGTCATCTGGCTGGGTTATCGCCTCCGCTCAACAATTTCCTGAGGAGAAACCCCTCCGCCATGTACAAAATAAATCACAGATTTTATCCAAACATTGAAATTATCTCTGTTTAAAATATTAAAACTGGTTTGTTCAGCATTATGGCGGCTATAAATTACAGGACTGAACAATGACTTTTAGCCCCTCCATTAATAAGACTGACGTAAGTAAAGATAAAGATGAAACAGGAATAGAAGAAGGTACAATAAGTCACACTACTTGGAAGGAAACCGTACTAAAGAAAGTACTATATACACTACCGGTCAAAAGTTTTGGAACATGTTTGTAGTTTGTATTGAAATATAAGCACTTCGGTCCAGTGAAAAGCTTCAGATGGTACAGGTAAAGTAAGATGCAAACTGCCAAATCTAAAAACAACATTTTCACATATAAAACTAAGCAATTAAATGGAGTTTTGTTCGTTATTTCACTGTAGGATCAACCTTCATTCAGTATCGTACAAAGCAAAGTCTTCTGAGGGTGTATTAACAGGCTGCAAGGTGTTTACTGTAGAAACGTGTTTCAAGGCTCCATTTCCTTCCACTGCTGCAGAATAACTCATTACTTGATCTCTGAAAGTAAATGAAGCCTTGAGACACATTTCTACGGTAAACCTCGGAACAGCCTGTGAGTTTCACTTATGGGAACATCTCCCCAGCCCCTAACCTTAACTTAACTCTAACCTGCATCCTAAACCAAGTGTTAACCCCCCAAAAAGCATCTCTACCTGTGGGGATCTCTATTTTTATCCCCATGGGGACAAGAATCCCCATCGGTTAGTGTGCATTCAGATTAAAGCCTCCATGAAACACATAAGGATTTACCAGGAAGAGCACATCATGCACAGCCATGTTACCTTGAGCTTGAGTAGATTTATATGAACATGATATCTGCAGGTCTACATATGATCACCATATAATATTTGGTGCATCAGGTAGCCTAAAGGATGGCCCAGTTTCCCAGGAAGTAGGGCAACCTATCTGAGATGACTTCTGCTTGATGGTATACAGGGCACAGGTTACAGCAGGGGTCTGCGTCTGACCTAGTTGAGCTGCGACATGGGGGAGCCGCTCGAGGCGAGATGCACACGAAAAGGTATGGAAAAGCATAAAAAACAAAAAGCTGTCAGATCAAAACCGCTTGTCCGCTGCCGTGCTGCTGACGGGGAAATGTGCCTGTTTCTTCTGACAGCCGAGGGAACAAAGAACTCTTTATCTGTGTTTGGCATTTTCATTTCAAGTCCATACGTCCTCAAAATATCAACAGTCGGCTGCTAATACTAGGATTTTATCAGGAGAATCATACTAACAGATGGTTAGCTATCTAAGTTCAGATATTTAGGATTCAGGTCCTCAGCAGGAGGGAACCTTTGAAGTCCTTGGGGCTCTGCCTTCTGTCATCATCCTCACTTTGCTGAAAGTTCAAGGATCTTATCCCTCAGCTGTTCTCTGGAGCTCCCAGCAGGGATTTACCGATGGAAAATCACTAAAGCCTTAGAGTAGCATGCAGGGTTAGGGTCTGTGCAGACAGGGTTCCTGCAGCTCCTAAAACTCTTAAAAGGTCTTAAAATAAAATCAGAGAAATTAAGGTCTTAAATTGTCTTCAATTTACCGTAAATTTGTTGTATTATATTTACCGATGGTGCTTTTTAAGGCTGGTGTGCCAAAGACGCCTAATTAGCGTGTATTTGTGAGATTTTTTTTGTATTTGACAACCCCGCCATTTATATAATCCATATGTTACGTTTACGTTTGCTGCAGACATCTGGCTGCATGTCCAAAAAATCTATATCTATAACTACAGGTTAAAATAGCTTTCTAAAGAGTGTCTTTGACCGTGATTAGTTTTCCTCCATGGATTGCGTGCGCCTACGTGTGTATTAGCCCGGCCGGAAAGTGAAACTTAAGTTCGGGCTGGCGTCGGTTTCTTGCTACCTTCCTTTATAATGTGCAAGCTACTATTTTTAGTAGGTTATATTGAGTTAAACACAATATATACAAATCACTGGGTTAAACAGTAAAAATTAAATCATAAATGTCAAATCATTATTTAATCTTTTTTTTATTATTATAGGTTTAAAGGCTGATTTTTGCTTCTGAGGGAAAGTTGAAGAAACAAGATGGTTAATTGTGCTTTTAAACTTTTCTTTATGGTCAGAACATGACAAACAGCAGCCTGATATCAAACACTGGATCACTTCAAAAATCTGTGGTAGAAGTAATTAAAATAATTTTTCAGCCCCTTTTCGTCAACAAAATAAATATCTTAATAGAAAAGAAAGCGCTAATTTGTTCGTGATTCAAATGAATTAAATAAAATATTTATTGATCATTTGTTATTTTGTTATTGAGGAAGATTGGATCACAATAATTATCATTATTGCATCTCTTTTCTATCAAAGAAACATATTTGTTTAGGTCTTAAAAGGTCTTAAAAAGAACCCTGGTGGAACCAGGAAAACACAGACAAAGAGGAGGAAGGGGGGTAAATATATGTAATATATGTAAATGACAAACCAGGACACAAAGGATGTCCTTCTTTTCAGTCTGATGCCAGCAGAACGAGTCAGCCTCGTGGACATGTAAACTTCTGCACCTTGAAACTGAGGATAACAACATGTATATCTACATTAAAAGTAGAGGCGTCCTGAGTATCTGTGTTTGGGGCCGATCTGGGCATATTTTAAAGATCAGTATCAGTTAGGCTTCGGCGGTA